CAAGGGACAAAACAAGCTAACCACCATGCTCCAATCTAGGGACACCCTGAGATCCAAGGGCCCCAGGAAAACATATGATCTGTGTTGATAGGAGCCAGGCATAGGAGCTGGGCCCGACAGGAAGAACTTGTTTGAACTGGGTCTTGAAGAACCAGTGTTTGCTAGGCAGAGAGCTTGGAACATTCTAGGCTGAGGTTGTTCATTGGCACTGAGGTAGACAGGAGCAGGGTCCCATTAGAAAAGGGGAAGACCCTGCCTGAGCATTGGGGGAATAAAGCTCAGCAGGACAGAGGAAGGAGGATATGTTTTGTAGGGTCAAGTGCATGAGCCCCCGCTCCCATCCATATTCCCAGGTCAACGTTTAGAATCACCCAACCTTCTCCTAGGGACTGCATGAAACCCTCATGGGTTGAAGCAGGGGTTAGCGAGGCCAATTTTTTGCTGGAAGAGATCAAAGTGGAAATAGGGTGACCAGTGAGGCCTGTATTGCTTCAGTCCAGACAGGACATGACAGCAGCCTAGATGAATTTGGAGGGGATCACAGGGAGGGGAGTAAGGAAGGCAGAAGAGAGGTTGAATTTTTTTTTTTAAATTTTTACTGGAACGTTAGATACACAAAGAGGAGGGAAGACGGAGAGGAAGATCCTCCATACAATAATTCACTCCCCAAATGGCTGCAATGGCCAGGAGCCAGGAGCTTCTTCTGGGTCTCCCATGTGGGTGCAAGGTCCCAAGGTTTTGGGCTGTCCTCAACTGCTTTCCCAGGCCACAAGCAGGGATTTGGATGGGAAGTGGGGCTGCCGGGATTAGAACTGGTGCCCATATGGGATCCTGACACGATCAAGGCGAGGACTTTAATCACTATGCTATCATGCCGGGCCTGAGAGGTCGAATTATGACAGAGATGAAAGCGAGGTCCTGGGCCCAACACAAGGGCTCAATAAACTAATTCTCCCTCTTCAAGTGCTGGGATCTTGTGTGGGTGCTGATTCATGTCCTGGTTGCATCACTTCCCTTCCAGCTCCCTGCTTGTGGCCTGGGAGGGAGGAGAGGGACGATGGCTCAAAGCCTTGGGACTGTGCACCTGTGTGGGAGACCAGGAAGAAGCTCCTTGCTCTTAGCTTCAGATTAGCCTAGCTTTGGCTGTTGCAGCTGTTTGGAGAGTAAACCAGCAGATGGAAGAGCTTTCTCTCTGTCTCTCCTCACCATAAATTTGATCTGGCTTTCCAATAAAACAAATACATGTTTTAAAAATCTGTTTCAATTCACAGGGCAAGTTGCTTACACTGTGGCACTTGATCTGCTATATTGGAAGACAGGGACTTGCTGGATGCAGGGTAACCATCACTATCTCTTCAGGTCACCCCAGGTGGGTGCCCCAGCATGGGATGGGGTAGCTCACCAAGCCGTCACCAGTAAGCTCAACCCAGCTCCCTGCACACCTGGTCCACAGAGAGCACGCATCTCCAGAACTCATGCAGGCGCATCTGCTCCTCGGCCTGCTGCAAGGCGGATGTCGTTGTGGTTACATCGAGAATCCACCAGGTTCTGTGAAAAATATCATTGGGGTCACAAAGCCTCCTTGGTGGGTTTGACATGTTGTGTTGGTATACCCCCCATGCCCTGTGGTGCACGGTGCAAAGGGGCTGCCACCCCCATTGCTGATGCTTTTCTAAGCTGCAAGGCTGGAAGGCCCCCAAGCTGGCTACAGCCCATTTCCTGGCTGCTGAGATAGAACTAGGCTATTTCTTAGCAGTCCACCCTGAATCTGGCCATTTCACACCCAGGGGGCTCCATTTCCAAGATTCAGAACCTGGAAGTTAGCTCTGGCTCCTTCCAGCACTTCCTCCACCAGTCAAGCTTACCTCATTAGCATTCTTTTATAATATTTACTTATTTATTACATTTATATATTAAATTTGTATTTATTTGTGTAATATATTAAATAAAATAATTAATGCAATGCTTTTTAAAGGCAGCTACAAGGATGAGAAGTGGAGATCTTCTTCCACTTACTACTGATTCATTCCCCAAATTGCTGTAATGGCCAAGGTTGGGCAAGGCCAAAGCAGAGGCCAGGAGTTTCCTCCAGGTCTCCCACTTGGGCCATCTGCCCCTGCCTTCCCAGGTACACTAGCAGGATGATGGATCAGAAATGAAGCAGCCAGGACACAAAAAGATGCTCCTATGGAATGCCAGTGTTGCAAGGAGTGGCTCAACTCACTGTGCCACAGTGCTGGCCTCACCTCTTCAGCATTCTTTTGATCGTAACCTCTGGCCAACAAGGTCATTTGACATGACCAAGCAAAAGGGGAACCTGTCATCCCAAGTGAGGATGGTTGGGTCAGTGGCCTCGTCGATCTTGGCTATGTCCTTGTGTCTGCCATTCATGTGAGCTAAGAAACAACAGTGCATTCACAAAGCCACGGGGACTCACACACACACACACACACACGCACACACACACCATATGTCAGTTTTAACTAGCATTGCAAGGTTTTTGCCTTTCCAACTTTTTCATCTTTCATTTCAAAGTGCTACATGTCCAGGTGCAAGTCCTTGGTAACACAGGTGCACTGCATCTACCATAGTTTCACTGGCAATTGTGAGAAATGAGAAAGTGGGGGCAGCTGCTATGGTTTGATAAGCTAATTCTCCACTTTCAAACCCCTGTATCCCACATGGGCACTGGTTCATGTCCAAGCTGCTCCACTTCCCATCCACCTCCCTGCTTGTGGCCTGGGAAGGCAGCAGAGGATGGCCCAAAGCCTTGGGATCCTGCACCCACGTGGAAGATTCAGAAGAAGCTCCTGGCTCTTGAATTTGGACTGACCCAGCTCCAGTAGTTGTGGCTGAACATTTCAGGAATGAATTAGTGGATGGAAGATCTTTCACTCTCTTTGTTTCTGTCTGTAAATCTGCCTTTTAAACAAGAATAAATAACTCTTTTTTAAAAAGAGAGAAGAAAATGAGAAACTGCCTAAATTGCCCGTTAGGAGGAGAACATCTACTTACAAGACACTCATTTCAAAGAACACCACATCTGTGGACATGAAAAGCTTTCCTGATTCTACTGTCAGATAGAATGTGTAAGTTACAAAACCTACACACAGGTTACAACCTCACGTGTTTCAAAGCATCTGTCTGCGCACAGATCATGCTGAGGGCCACAGTGAACTGCATGGTGGTTTTCCCGGGAGGATAGGAGTGAGGGGAATTAAGACAGGAGCTTTCTCTGTACTCCCTTTTTAAGAACAAAGGACTGGCACCACTTAGAACACACTGAAAAATTTTTTTTTTCTAAAAATAGAACGTCCAATGTCAACATGAGAATCCTCGAGACATTGAAATCAAAGTTAATGTTTAAAGTCTGCCAACACTTGTGTAGACCCCAAAAGAGGTATGCAATCAAATAAACAGAGCTCAGTCCTTGCTATTCTGTGACCTCCAGGGTTGTAAGACATATAAGGAAGTCTGGGACATGGTCCTCAACCTGCAGAACTCAAGCAAAGCCAATGGTGTTTGAGTCCTGAATACTCCACTTCCACTCTAGCTCCCTGCTGGGGGGGGGGGTGGTTGGGGGGGTTGGAGCAGAGGATGGTTCAAGTGGCTCAGGACCCTGAACCCACCTGGGAGGCCTGGAAGAAGTTCCTGCCTCCTGACTTCAGCCTGGTCTAACACTAGCTATTGAGGCCATTTGGGGAGAGAGCCAGCAGATGAAAAATTTCTCTCTCTAGTTTTTTTTTTTTTTTTCTCTCTCTCTCTGCCCTTCAAATAAGTACATAAAACCTAATGCTGGTGGCCTGCCTGTCAACCAAGTGGCAGCAATCTGAGGCTCACCCACTATGGGAGTCCAAAAGGGAGGATCAGGAGACCCTGAGGGGTCTGGTGGGCACATCACCGAGGCTGCACCTTTTAAGAACATCATTAAGCAAAAAGGAAGGGGACATACGAAGGATCTTCCAAAAGACCATGGAAAATCCCCATTAGCTTTTCATTCAACTTTCCACGAATCATCTGAAGCTTCTGCATGCGTGTGCCAGAGACAGATGGGGAAAAACTACCTCCACTCAAGCATTTGTCCAGGACCCACATGTCCTTCGCGATCACCCCAAGCCAGAAAAGCAAAAAAGGAGGACCAATTCTTACAAGACAGGAGCTGGCCCCAGCGATGAAAGAGAGACAGGGCGTGGGCAACTTCAGGTCCGTGAGGTTGCTGCTACAGGTGCATGGTGAAGGGAGAAGCAAGAGGCTGGAGCAGAGACTAGGAGGAGCCAGAATCCAAAGAGCTGGGAAAAGCAAGCCAGGGTTAGGGAGCAGGGCAGGTGCTGGGAAGGCACGGAATAGTGATTAGCGCTGTCAGGTCCCCTGGAGTGGAGTAATTTGTGTGGTAGAGTGACTGAAGCGCTGGGCAGGAGAGACGCTGATGTGGAGGATGCTGCCTCCGGGGTGAGTCGGCAGAGGACCCCACAGCCTGCACAGGGCTTCAGCTCCTCTGTTCCCCTCCCCCAGCAAGGAAAGAAGACACCCTCCCCGCCTCCACCATGCACGCGCAGGTTGTCCTGACTCAGAAACCGGAAGTGGGCAGATCCCTAAGTCCTCCTCTCGGTCCCCAGTACCTATTCTGCACACAAAATGGCCCAAGGAGATGGTGCAAAATAAGCTGGCGTGAGCTGGCAGGGAGTGGACCCTGCTCTCCCTGGCCGCTGCCCTGCTTCTGGCTCATTGGGTGTCTCTCTGATACTCTGTCATTCCCACCAAGGAGCCAGTTCCAAAGGGCACTTCCAATCCTGGTTCCTTACCCCAAACCTGCAGTTTTCAATTCCCACACCCTCCCTCAACCCCGTGCGCTCCCCACTCCCCACCAAGGTTGCCTCAATTGCCCAGTTCTCAGCTCCCAGCCCCCTGGAAAGTGATAAGCACGAATAGGAGGGCGACTCTCTCCTCGACTGGGGCTTCAGGTGACATCACATCCTTCAAACGTGTGATCAGTTCTGCGGCCGCCCCCAGGGCGCAACTCCCCGGGGTGTGTATGTGTGTGTCAGGTGCCCCACGCACCTCCTGCGCGCCTGCCCTAGCGTCATGGCCTCACCAGCGACTGCCCTGTTCTTGCCGCTGACCCTGTTGCTGCGTGAGTTTGAGACACCCCTCCACTCCCAGGGTGGCAGAGGTGAAGGGAGGTTGGGAGGGTGGGAGAGGTCACGGGGTGTGGGACTTAACCTTAGCGTCCCACTATCCACAGAAGTCGCTGCGGCGTTCCGGCAAAGCCAGTTTCGGATGTCGCCTTCCAAGCTGGAGGTGCGTCCGGGGGAGAGCGTGAAACTGAGCTGTGAGGTGTTGCTGCCCAACGCGGGATCAACCTGCTCGTGGGTGTTCCAGCCGCGCGAAGTCGGAGCCAGTCCCATCTTCCTGCTGTACATCGGTGCAAATGGCCTTACTAGGCTGGCCAGCGATCTGGATCGCGAGGAGATCTCTGGCGGGCGCGAGCGCGAGAAAGTCTTCGTCCTCAATTTGAACAAGTTCCAAGAGAAAAACCAAGGCTACTACTTCTGCTCGGTTGTGGGCAGCCCCGACTTGCATTTCAGTCCCTACATTCCTGTCTTCCTGCCAGGTGTGGCGCGTGGTGGGGCACCGGTTCACCCAGGGTTTGGAATGCTCCTCTGAATCCATTTTTTTTTTTTTTTAAACAGTGACTGTCCCTGGGTGTTATTAACTACTGTTCCCATTTCACAGCCGACTACACTGAAGCTAGGGTGCGGCCCAGTGGGGACTGCAGTTGGCTTTTCCGGGGCGGGGGGAGGAGGGCGCTCAGCAGGACTCGAGTTTGGATGTCTTGTGTGGTCCTAGGCAGGTTTCCTGCCGTGCCTGGCGCCTCGCTCACGTCGTGCAGGGAAGCGGCCGCGGGAGCGTATCCAAGGTTCCCATTCGCCCTCCCCATATTCTCCCGAGGAAGATTGGGAGGAAGTGCCCCTTTGGGTAAAGTGCCCCCAGAGACCCGGGGCTGGAGCACAGGTGGATGCTCAAGCGGTTGTCGCTCTTTCAGCCAAGCCCACCACGAGGCCGACGCCACGACCGACCACGCGGGCGCGCATCACCGAATTGCAGCCCCGGACTCCGCGCCCAGAGTTTTGCCGGCCCTCCGGGGGCGCCGTAGGTGAGGCACGCGCGCAATCGGGGCCCCAGCACAGCCGGCTCTTACCCTAGAGGTAGAGCCCAGCTGGTGGGGACACCAAGTCCGGGGTGGGGAGTCGTGCACGGGGTAGTGGGTAGGACGCGGTGGGGGCTCCGGGCCGGACTACTAAGTGGCATCTTTGGTCACAGGGGACTCGAAGGGGCTGGACCTCACCTGTGACATTTACATCTGGGCGCCTTTGGCCGGGACCTGCGCGGTTCTTCTGCTGTCCCTGATTATCACCATCATCTGCAATCGCAGTAAGTCCCGAGCCGCGATGGCATGTTCCCGGCTTGTCCCAGGTAGCCCTTGCCAGGAATTGCAGATAGGGTGTCGTGAGGCGTCTGAACTGCCCCGCAGGGCAGAGGGTGGCCGGTCCACACCCCTCTTCCTACGCTCGGGGAGCTGGAGGGAGCTGGGGGGAGTTGAAAGTCAGAGTTCCAAGTTCCGGACCTAGTCGGCGGTAGGCGCATTCCCGGATGCATTTCGCAGCCTGTGCGCACACGTGGTGCCAGCTTGTGTGGACAAGCCGCACCAAGGAGATGGAGGAGGCCCCAGGTCCGGGGCTGGCTAGATGGGTTTAAGGGCTGGTCCACACTTGCCTTGTCCCCTCGAGTCCCCCCCCCCCCCACCATCTTGTGTTCCACGTGGGTGATTGTGACAACTCAGGTCCTCACACTCACATCTGTATTTGTACTTCTTCTTTTTTTTTTTTTTTTTTAAAGATGTCATGCTAGAGTTAGAGAGAGAGAATGTAGCAGATGTTCTGTCCTCTGGTTTACTTCCTAAATGGTTGCAGCAGCCAGAGCTGGACCAGGCTGAAGCCTGGAGCCAGGAACCTCTTCCTGGTCTCCCACGTGGGTGCAGAGCCCTAAGGACTTGGGCCATCCTCCACTGCTTTGTGGGTCCCTGCATACATAATTGTTTAAATTGACCCCGGAGAAGAGGAATGGGAAAGCAGCTGTTGACTGTGATGCTGAGTTGTAATATTAAGAAAAAAAAAATGGTAAAAGGGAAGGAGGACTGTGAACTCTCAGTGTGGGGGACACTCAATCTCCCCTCTTTTTCCTTACCCAGGGAAGCCACGGCGCGTCTGCAAATGTCCCAGGTGAGTCTGTGAACCCCGCACTCCCCTGCCAGGGATGGATAGCAGTGGGCAGGGCTCCTGGTTCCCTCAGGTGAGAATCTGCTGCCAAAAGAGGCCAAGGACAGTGGTGTCCTGGTGCAGACCGTGCTGAGCAGGGGGGCAGAAAGCAGGCACTGGGCCTGCATTGGAGAGACTTAGGGAAGTCTGTCTCATTTGGCCTTGACCGATGAAACTGGTCTGGGAGCTTCATCTAGTTTATCTCAGTGCTCTCACTCTCTCTTTTTTTTAAAAAAAGATTTATTCACTTGTATTTGAAAGGAAGATTTTAGAGAAAAGAAGAGATAGAAAGAAACGATCTTTAATCCCTGGCTCACTCCTTAAATGGCCACAATAAGCCAATCCAAAGCTAGGAGCCAGGGGCATCTTCTGGATCTCCCACGTGGGTGCAGTGTCCCAAGGCACAAGCAGGGAGCTAGATGAGAAGTGGTGCAGCAGAAACATAAACTGGTGCCCATGGGATGGCAGCAAATGCAGTGAGGACTTTAGCTGCTAGGCTACTGCATTGGTTCTACCCTGCCCTTAAAAGGTCTGGGATCTTCATCTGATTCATTTCTTTTCTACTAGCTGTGGTTTTATCTTGAGTTTTAAGCCTGGATGCCTAATTGCCTCAAGTCAGCACAAGGCCTTGATCTTCAGCCAAGGACTGGGATATGGGAAGGGGGAAGGGAAGGTTGGGTGGAAGGAGGGAGCGTTCTAGCAACTCCAGGGACTGCCACATCCAACAGGAGCTGAGGCTCACGCTGCAATGATCGAGGAAAACCTAGCAAACACTAGAGCCGCTCCCCAAGCACCTGCCTCAGCCAGGCACTGTGAGGGGATTTCTCAGGATCTCCGTTCATCCTCGCAGCAACCTCAGGAGGCAGGCTCTGCAGTCCCAGCTCACAGATAACCGGCTCAGGGATTAGGAATCTTATCCAAGATGGCAGAGGAAGGATGGCATTCAGGTAACCAGTAGCAGCCACCTCTGGGTGAGCATGTGCGGGGTGCACTGGTTGCTGACCTTACACTGCTAGCTGTTTGCATCTGTGGGTTTTACTTCTGCAAATTCAGCCACCTCTGAGCGGAAACGATTCAACAACACAACATTGCATGTGTTCTGGACATGAAGAGACCTTTTTTCTTGCATTGTTTCCTCAACACTACAGGGTAACACCTGCTTATCTAGCATTCTTAGTAGTAAGTCATCCAGAGACGATTGCCAAGTACACAAGAGGATGTGTGAAGCTATCTGCAAATACTCCACCATTTTATGTAGGAGCTGAGCATCCTGGGACCAATCCTCAAGAGATTCCCTGAGGGGGACTGTATTTCTAAATTTCCCAATCTTTAACGTAGTGCAACATGTGCCTTCCATGTTGCAGACTAGTAAATTGAAGTTTTGGGCAAGGCTTCCTCCTGTGGCCCACAGGATGGGGGATACTGTGTAGGGGGGGGCCACTGAGGACAACTAAATATGCACCTATGCCAGTTCCTCCCAGCAGGTGAAAATACTTCAAACTTTGGTGTTGGGATTTTGCATATGTTATGGATTTATTTATTTTATTTGAAGAGTGGATTACAGAGAGAAGAGACAGATCTATTGATGCTTCACTCCCCAAATGCTGCCAATAGCTTGAGCTGAGCTGATCCAAAGCCTAGAGCCAGGAGCTTCTTTCGGGTCTCCCATGTGCGTGGTCCCAAGACTTTGAGCCATCCATGACTTTCCCAGACCACAAGCAGAAGTAGGAAGCTGGATGGGAAATGGAGCAGCTGGGAAACAAGCCAGCGCCCATACAGGGCATTGGTGCTTGAAGATGGAGGATTCGCCTGTTGGGCCACCAGCCCCTGAATTTTGCATTTCATACCCCTGTTTCTCAGCAGAAAGTTTGCTGTTGTTTGCCATTTACACTCCCACTTATTTCTCTGTAGGAAACCAACATTTCTCACATTGTTGTTTTCAACAAAGGAAATGTAATGAATTCCTACAGCAGGTGTTCTGGGACCTGTACTGAGGTATAAAGACTCTAAACACAGAGGATTTGTAGCACCTTCATTACTTGGGAGCTTTTGCAAGAGAATCTTTGATCTTTTCTGAAAGTGCTCATTTTGATACAACAAGCAGGATTTACTACATCCTGCTGGCAAATCCAAGGTGTGCAGATGGAAACCACTTGTGATATTCAGATACACACACCAGGTGAGACTGGAGGACAGCCCAGCCCAGCCTCAGCAGAGAGGGCAGAGGGGCAGGGGAGTGTGTAGCTGATAATATCCGAGCCTATTCAGACGCCATTAGCCCACAGCAGAATGAACAAGCATTTCAATAAAGTCACTCATCCAAGCACCTATGGTGGTGGCTGGCTCACCTCCAGCCCTCCCACCCTATCACCCCTGCTCAGAGCTCTATCACCCTGTTGGCTGGTACTGTGGTTCAGTCTCCTTCTTTCACTACCCTGGGGACCTTCAGGGACTCCCTGAAACTGGATTCACTTCAAGTTCTGCTTGGATGTCTCAGTTTAAGGGCCTTGGGCATCTCTTCTTTGCTTAATCCTGCCCCCCAACCCCATAGGTTGCTGCCAAGATGATAACAGATGACCCAAGTGATGCAACTGATGATGCTCCTGATGCTTCAAGGAACAAGGCAAGGGGTTAGGGAACAGGGTGTCTAGACTTGGGTGCTGCCTTCCTTGCCTCTCTTTCAGGCCCGTGGTGAGACCAGGAGGCAAGACGAACAAGTCTGACGGAATCGTGTAACACGTGATGGGCCCACGCGACAGCCACTACATTTCAAGCTGAGAGCTCTCTTTTACAAGGGGAGCAAGTCCTTGTCCTTCTTTCCCTGTCCACCCCGCCATGTATCCATTGCTGTTATTTCAGTAAGGGTGGGTGGTGGGAAGGGTTATGCTATGTGTTTACTCTCATGGCTGCTGTGCACACATACTGACTGCAGTCAAGGGTGGGGAGAGGCAGGTCAGAGCCATCCAGGCAGGAGCTGTGTTCTCAGAAGCATGACGGGGGGGGGGGGGGTGGGGGGGGGGGGGAGGGCTGACGGCAACCTGAGCCACCCACAGAGTGAAGCCCCCACCCGCCTGCATGTGGCAGCTGAAGCCCAGAGAAGGGTGGAGACAGCATGCTCAGAGTCACGCAGCCAGCAAGGCAGGGCTGGAGCCCCAGCCAACAACCTGTTTCCCCAGCTTATCGCTCTTTCCTTTAGAGTTTCACGATGTTGCTCAGCATTGACAAGACCTCTTTAGGATCAGACCTGAGACACTGCATGGGCAGCACAGACTGCTGAAATAAGAGTAGAATCTTGGGAAACAAATTCCATTGTCTCTGTGAACCTCCCATGCAGGCCAGACTGCTCCCCCAGCTCTCGCTTGCAGGGGCACCTGTTCAGGGGGAAGAATCCCAAAGTACAACGTTCAGTAAAGCTCGTCCCCCGGCTCAAGACCCTCACTCCTGGCATTGCTGTGGAATTCAAACAGAATTGTTGGAAGGCTCCCCATACAGGCCCTGCTCTCCTCAACCAGCAGGCGCCCAGTGGGGCAGAACAGGCTGTGATAACCAGCAATGTGTGCTCTTCCTAAAATGACGTAGACTCACCCATATTTGTATTTACCTCAGGGATAACTCACTGCTACTGTGATGGTGTTTTCTTACAATATTCTATGCATCTATGTATGGTACCTTCTTCTTTCATTTTTTCTATGAGGCTTTTAATAAAGCTTTTATGGCATCTTGTTTAATGGCTATTCATTGTGCTACCATTTACATACAACCTGGCCTGTATTCACTACTATGACACTAACAATACATGGCACATCTCTATAGGATTAAATGTTCAACAGTAAAATTCTGTGGGTTCCTGCCATCACACCCACTCACAACAATGGACCAGCCTCTTCCTGCATTACTTCTGCTCCCTTTGCTCATTCTAACACCAAAGGATGCTGCTAAGTCACACCTTTACCTTGCCATTGAGGTGTGACACAGACACACCTCAAAGCGCATGCTTCCTTTGTACACAGATCCAAGAGCTCATGGAGCAAAGACAACCATGGCGCAAGCCCCAGGGCACAACAGAACTTTATCCAGTCCTATAAGCCTGCCTCCCAAAGGTCTCACTTTTTTTGTTAAAGATTTATTTATTTTTATTGGAAAGGCAGATATACAGAGAGGAGGAGAGACAAAGGAAGGTCTTCCGTCCGATGGTTCACTCCCCTCGCAGCCAAACAGCTGGAGTTGAGCCAGTCCCAAGCCAGGAGCCAGGAGCTCTTCCAGGTCTCCCATGCGGGTGCAGGGTCCCAAAGCTTTGGGCCGTCCTCGATTGCTTTCTCAGGCCACAGGCAGGGAGCTGCATAGGAAGTGGGGCTGCCAGGATTAGAACGGGCGACCATGGGATCCCAGTGCATTCAAGGTGAGGACCTTAGCTGCTAGGCCATCACACAAAGCCCAAAGGTTTCACTTTTCAAATCAGGACACTTGTGCAGAACAGAGAGCAAGGAGGAAAAACATCCTGCATGCCCCTAAAGCAAGAAAGCTGAGAAGAAATTCCCTCTGCCATGAGGCCTGGCTCTTACCCTTCCTCCCTGAACCCAGGCACCTGGCCAGTACAAGTAGGCTCAGCTTGGAGTGGGCACCAAGCTCCAGGGCCTCCAGAAGAAGCGGGGATGGGGGTGGGGGAGGGCTCACAGCTTTCTCTGGCTTCCTTGTTGCACTCTGCGACAATGGCCGTGGGGTCATGATTGTGTCAGGGTGCAAACAGGCAGAGGGCAATTCTCACCAAGTGCATTTCCTCTTTGTCCTTCAGCTCAGGGGATGAGCAGTAGAGGGCCCATGCTTGGCGGGGCTGTCGACATATTCCAATGTTTTAAAATATTCTGAAAAAAGGAGGAGGCCTTCCCTTACCTTATGCTAAATGAGGATCTGGAAATGACCAATGTAGAAAAACAGTCCCTGGAGTTGGTCCTCTGCACCAGGGTAAAAATGGAAAGCCCACCTGCAGGACACGCATTTGGAGGCCAGCTCCAGGGGGGCTGTGAACTGAGCTTCAGGGCCTCTTGGGGAACTCAGGCACCCCACATGGGGCTGCAATACCCAAACTCTCAATGCTCCTGCCACAAACCCATCACTGGCATTTTGCTTGCTGACTGCCAGCCTGAAACACTGGTTCCACACACCCATGTAGCTGTCCATGGCATGCTTTAGGATCTTGATACACAGCAAGTAGTCAAAGGACTTTCCTAACATATTGGGAACTTTGTATTAGCTGGCTGAAGTTCAGCTTCAATGTGGCTCACTTTATCATTCATCACTTAACACAAACATATCCTGTTTGTAAAAAGAAAGAAAGAAAAAAAAAAAAAGCCCAACATAAAACTCTCTGGTTTAGCTCTGAAGCTGCTTTGAAGGATCCCACCCACCCTTGGAAATTTCCTGGAAGAATCTTCACCTTTCAGGGGACTGGGAGGGGGAAAATAGGGTGTTAGGGAGGGTTCCTTTTCTGCCAGCTGCTTTCCTCTCCTGCACCTGGTGTGAGCGCAGCCCTCCTTAGCAACTGTATGGTGACCTTGGGAGCAGAGATGACGGCAGCCAAGTGTTGTTAGATGTAGAGGCTACGGCAAACAGCTTCTGGGCTCCACTGTGCCTGTGGTTTCCCCAGCAAGTGCCTTACGAACTGTGTCCTCACATGTAAAATGCAAAACAGTCTCTCTTCTCATGAGAGAATATTCAAATTTGCATGTATTTTTGGGGGGGAGGGTGACTAGAACCTATTCAGCAAGTAATATAGACTTTAAAAAAAAAATGAAATTGACCCAGCTTCCGTGCAGAACATTCATGCTGATTCATCACTGAATGCAGGGTCATTGTCTGACTCCTCCCCACCTTGCCTCTGAGTTTAGTCTAGAAAGGCTAAACGTGCCTTTCTGCCGAGTTCTTATTCACTAGTAACAGTCTAGGGCCCGAGCCCAAAGTGGCCCAGGAGGACCTTCCCTCCCCAACTCCCCAAGAATTCCGTCCCTGGAAAGGTGGCGACTCTGGCCACTGACTCCGTGTCACTAGTAAGCGATCCTCAAAGGTCCCCCCAGATGGGAAACATTCTACGCTGCCCCCTCCTCCCCGGAAAATGTGCCAAAGGGAAGAACTTGGCCTCTGTTTATCCTTGACAATGGTGTGTGTGCAGCCCTGCCTGGTAACCACCTGCTGGTCAAACCCTGTGGGTGTGGCCAGGGAGCAGGGCAGAGTCCTGGCTGTGAATAGGTTGGTGTATTTGGGGACAGCAGCCTGGAAGTACCGAGAAGCTCACCTTCTGCCCAGCTGCCTCCTCCCCTCAGACCACAGATGGCACAGAAGGAGATAAGATGGCAACAGAAACCCCCCTACCTGCAGACCCTGGGCAAACACAGGCAGGCATTCATGGCTGGCACCTGCATCCTCCCTCCTGCCTCTCACTGGCACATTCATACAGATCGGCTCCACAAAACACTTTTTAAATGTGCATTTTTTTTTAATTTTTAAAAAATATACACAGGAGAAGCCATGTGTTTTACAAAGGAATACACACATCAACAAAGCATTTCTTATAGTTTTCCAAAACTCTATAATAGCAATCCGAAATTTATAAATTATATATATATATATATATATCAGAATTTTTCTTTAAAAAGTCAAAACGGAATCCCTGAAATCATGGGATATATTAGCCATTTTTTCCAAAGCCAAATGAACACAGAATAAGAACATGGTTTGTGTTAAATAAGGTTTATTGTTAGCTTTATTGCCTATAGTCTATAAGATGCAACTTTATTGTGCCTTTGCAAACAGGATACATTTCTTAAAAAAAAAAGCTGATCAAAATTTCCATACATATAGCTCTATATGATAGATTACAGTGCAACACTATTCTTGTTACATAATTATAGAAATACTATCAAACCCAAGAGCACAGGGTAAGCCAAAGAAATACAATCCTGAGCCATCTGAACCAGATGATTGGATGAATCCTTTTAGTGTGAGTGTAGAAAACATGGATTAGGGGAAAATACATGCACACGGCAGTTAGGGCAAAACACGGCAGACACCTGTTCTCTGCAAGACAGGTGGGGGTCATGGTGAACTTCAGACAGGCATACTCACTCCTGCTTCCTTCTCCTGTTGCCCCCCCCCCCCCCCCCCCTCCCCCCCCCCCCCCCCCCCAATCAGGCACTAACTCCTAGTGAAAACTCCAGCCTCGCTGGAGATGGTTAATTGATGGCGGAAAACACGGGAGTGCAGGTCCTCACCCACAGTGTGAAACAGGGTGTGTGGTGGAAACCAGTTCCAGCTGCTTGTGCCTCTTTGCAAGTCATTGAAGTGTGTGTCCACCACGGTTTCTAACTGTGGTGCGAATGTCTTGATAAACAGAATTTTGTGGCTCTTGCCATGTCTTGAAGTCAAGTCAAGCGTGGAAAATCCACCCTAAAATGAACGCCTCGTCTGCTATTAAAACACACTTGTCATGCTATTTTTTGGTATCTATTCAATTAGAGTTCGGTCAGAAAAGTTCATGAAGTTTGTACCTGCTTATAGTGAACACTAGAGTACCACATGAAACCTGCCATTGTAGGACAGGCCTACACAATTCCAAACCTCCCAGTGTCCCTCACCAGTAACACCCTGTTGGGACCACAGCATTCTAGTGTTACCCAAGGTAATGTACACATAGCTAACAAAAGGTATTTGGTTTGTGTCTTTACCTTATACTTCCCTAGGGATAAAACTAACCAAACCATGCCTCCATACCTTCCCTGAAAATAACCTGAGTCGGCTGACCAGCAGATTGGCCAGCTTGGCTGTCAGTCCACTTTATCAGAGGTCAAACTGGAAAACCAGAGGCTAAACGTATTCTATCAGCAGCTTGTCTTGTGCGAATAACGAAGAGCTCTTGTTTTTTTTTTTTTTTGCAATACCCACGGTCCCAAAGGCTGTCATCACTGATGAAATAGCTGCTTGATCACAATGAAATAGCTGCTTGCGGCATAAAAAAACACTGAACTCAACCTGTGAAACCTCTGGGATCACTGAAGAGAAAAACAAGGATCCTCACTGCCCACAGAACCTGGTGTGGGTTTTAGCTGCTACAGAAAATTCACAACAAAAGATCGACTTCATAAACTTCCATAGTTGTGGTTAAATGCGCACGCACGGGCACACACACACATAATACACACCCTATGCATATGAGGTGTCTCTTAGAAAGTTTCTACATTAAGAGACATCAATACCCGTTCATTTATGAATATTTAATTTTAAAGTCTCATATAATTAATCACCGATAAAACAGAAATGGAATCTGTGGATCATCACTCCTAAAAAGAAGAAAAGATGGAAGGAGGACAACCCTAGAAGTCTAAAGACTGTACCTGACAACACAGTAGCTCTGGCTAGGTCACAATCTAAAGATTGGAGAGAGAGACCTCATGGGTTTAGCATAGTCCCCTATGAATTTTGTCCAGTATTGATAAGTGGAAACTCTTCCCAGCATGTATTTATCATTAATCACATCTCTACCACTGTCTCCTACAAGAAGAGGCAGAGCTCCCAGGAGTTTCCAGCATCTTCCTGTGCCTAAGACGCCTAGCTGGCTGGGAGCCCCACCGTCTGTTAAGGTGTTTCTAAGCAGAAAGCAAAATGTTACCCTGTGCCATCTTTGTTAAAGCCTGGCCTCTCTTCAAATTCACCTCCCCTGCACATTTAGTCTCCAATAGATTTTAAGTCCATGTACTTAGAGGGTATACAGCACAATTTTCACATTACAATCGTCAGATCAAGAGGGTGTCACATGTTGGCCTTCCCCCCCCGCCCTGTGGACTTGACAGGACCTTTCGCAGCAAGTCCTGGAGACAGAAACTTTAGGAAGAGCGCATCCTTTTCAAGATTTCATGAGTTGCACAGAAGACTGTCAATAGGGCTCCCATTGCTGGGCAGGGGACACAGCAGAATTCTGGCTTTTGTCCTTAGAGTGGCACAAGCTCCAACTGTTGTCAAGTGAATGCCTGCCAGTGATCTGCCCCCGTCTCAGAGCATGTGTATCATTCAAACATTGGAGACACCTAACAAGTGTTACATAGGTGTCTTGAGGCGGAAAATGAGAATGAGTTGCAAATAAAGCTCCATTTGACCCAAGGAAGAAAAACTTTTGTTTCAAAAAGATACTTCCAAAGGTTTAATGAAAACATAAATCTATATAGTAAGCCAGTTTACACCTGTGACCCAGAGTGTGGCCTGGAACTCTCTAAGCAGTCTAGGAGCCTGTCTCAGCTTTCCTCCTTCAGTGCCTATTCAGAGGGTTCCAATGGTGAAAAGCAAACAGGTGACAGAAAAGAGCCAGAATGAGGCAAGGACAAAGCCGGTTCTCTGAGCCAGGCTCATCACAACCCCGTGGAGGGCTGCCTCCCCATGGCTGCCAAGCAGCACTCCCCTGCCGTCCTCACTTCCCTCACAAACCAACTCCAGCTCTCACAGGGAAACCCTCAGGGGTAGCCAGCCAGGCTCAGGGATCACTGCAAACGCTGCCAATGGTCCATCAATCGAGCACCTAGCTCACTGACCCCCTCCCTAAAAATAAACCCATCTGTGGTTTAGAATGAGAAGTGTCACATTCCTCTTTGCATCTGTGTTTTCTGCTTATTCCATTTTCTCATCAAAGTATCTTGGTCTGGATGGTTCAGCTCCATGGCAGATGAAATAAAGCTGCAGAATATTTGGTGGTTTCCATGTAACATTCTTTCATAACAAAGTAACCATGGGGTTAAGTCAGAATTCTCTCCATAGAGGTGGTCTTTTCTGTGTTAGCATAGCATCCAGAGGAGGACTGGTGGTACACACAGCTATTTCTGGACAGTGGATTAAATGAAGATCCCTCACAAGAGAAAAAGTCCATTATCTGTATCCACAAGAGCACTACACAGGCGTTCAGTCAATGAGATGATCCATGTCACAGAAGAGAGGCACTGGACAGGAAACTATTCAGAAATGAAAATGGCAATCAGATCCCGTGCTACAGAAATTCTGCTAGCTTCTAACTTGAAGGACTTCAATAGTGATGGGTTAGGTGACTGCACTTTAGGACTGGAACATGCTTCTTCCCTTCCAGATACACAATGCTTGATGCTGGTGCACATTAGTCCACACACACAAAACACTGTGTCTGCAATGACAGGCGAAGTTGCAAGAGACAGCCAGGTCCTGAAGGCAGATTTCAGAGGATAGGGCTACCAAGACCTAGAGAGCACATATCAACTTAGGAACACTTCTAACTCAAGATTTTCATTTTATTGAACACCACTTTTAAAACAAGCACCTCTTGGCAATAAAAGCAAATAATAATAATAAAACCAAACACAAAAACCCCAAACAAAACAAAATACAAGAACCACACCAAAAACCAGTAACACTCCTTCCACTTAGCAGTAGTGGAAGACTTCTCACACCAGCCTGTTAAATCCATGATGGAATTGTGTGAACAGGCAGCCCGTGGGGCTACGAGCAGAGCTCAACTGCAGGTGTGATGGCTTCGTGGTGAGAGCTGGAGCAGAAGAAAACATCAAAAAGCAAATTTGGAATCTATCACAGCTTTCTTCCTTAAGCAAAAACAAAAACAAAAATGCAAACTAGTTTTAGACCCACAATTCAATTTCTCTACCATTTTCAGAAGAGTTTTCATTTAAGTTTACATCTCAGTAAATAAAACATTTCCACAAACTCTCTCAAGGTTCACAACTGTCGAGAGAATGACCAAAGTAAAGCTGGGGGAAAGATTCCACACATGCCAGGAAGGTCAATTTCTGTTTCTGCTCTTAAAAAGTAAAAAAAAAAAAAAAAAAAAAAAAAAAAATCACCATATAATTAAGTACAAAAACCTGCATTGAATGACAACTGCTGGTGTATTTACTTGATCAGAAATGAAGACCAAGAATAATAAAGCCCTATGATAACATCTGTCGGGAGCACTCCCTCAGTGTGTGCACACTACCATGCTGGCAACAACTTGGGAACATTAGCTTATATCCACATGGAGTCCTTGGTTCACGGCATTAAATGGAACAGTTCTCTTCCGAAATGCACCCACAACTCAATTTCACTTACAAATTGCAAACTAAAATTATTTCTTCAGAAAAATATCTGTTTGGCATCTCCTGGACTTTGTTCCATTGGGCAATATGGACATTTTAATCTACAGAGAAAAAAAAAAAAAAAAGAAAGAAACTGAATCAAACACCAGGATCAGAACAGAACATTCAGTTTTCTAGCTGAAGAATTTTGCTAACAATCAGATGCATGTTCACCCATACACACAGCCATACAGTGTGTGCGCATGGATCGCCTCTGAAAATTCATAATGCCTTTCCCATAATAGGGCCACTAAGCTTTGAAGGGTCATGAAAACACAGCCCAAGAGCCAAGGCTCTTGTTCTTTCATTAACAAAATGAAAACAATTTTTCTGAAAACTGCTTTTGAGGTCTCAGAAGCAAATCCAGTTTCTCTTCTCCAAAGGCGGAGGCCGTACCTAGCTCAAAATGGTTTTCCAAAGCACTGTTCACATAATCTGCTCAAGTGCAGAAAATCAGATGTCAGCCACCCAACCCACACTGACAACAGCTCATATGCCTCTCGGTGATGCATGAGCCCTGCCCCTGACCTCCTGGCCGGTCTCTAGTCTCCACCAATCTGCATTAGGAGTAAAAAATTACAAACACAGACACCCTCGGAATCAGGTAAATCACTTTAGCAATGTTTATAGTAACAAGCTAAACACTCCTCAACAGGGAACTGGCTAAATAATCATATTCCCATATGGCAGACTCAACAATTTAAAAAAAAAAAAAGGGGGTGGTGGTGGGGGGGAGCAGCATATAAAAAGATCTCCCAGATGTAACATCAAGTGGGATGGAAAACACAAAGCATACAACAGGATATGGCATACACCAAGCCACTATAACTTTAAAAAAGAGCAGGAGGATGCATCATATTCCCCAAAAGCTCAAAGATTCATATTTCTAAATATAATCACATATCCAGGAACAAGCTACACAGAGACTGAAGGAAGATCAGACACCACTCATCTTGCTAACTGAATAGTCATGAAATCTATTTACTTCTTATTTTCCCAACAGATCCCCTCCACCCACCAGAAAAAAAAAATTTACCAACATCCAGAATGTCAGGCACTTACTTGCTCCCATTAAACATTTTATTCAGGGCATCTCTTGATATGATATGACCACAGACCAGCTTCATGGGTGGATTGTTATCTGTCGTTTGCTGACGAAGAATGGGGCAGGCAAATATAGAGTGATACCAGCATTTTTTACCAAGGTCCACTTCAATCTGTGCAAAGAAAGTTAAAAAAGGGCTCATGTTACATTTCCGGAAATGCCACCTGGGTTCCTGCACGTGTGGCACATGGAGCTGCTCCTCTGCAGAACGCTGACAGCTCCCTCGGACTCACTGAAAGGGCGACTCCTAGAGGGAACGCAACCTTCAGGACTATGCAAAGCACCGCCTTTTTTTTTTTTTTTTTAAGTAGTGTTACTTTTCAAACGCACCTCTGATGTGTTTCAGCTTCAAAGGTCTCAGAGTGGTGTTCCAGAACATAAACATTGTCAAGATACCCACATGAAGCACCAGAAGCCACTTTATAGCACATTTGGGCTCGGTAAAAATATTCAGTGTAGAAACTCCTTCCTGGGCAGACTAAGCATGGTTTACATCTTTCTGTGTGAACTCTGGATCCCAGTTCCCTATGTCCAGAGGAACCACCTGCCCTGGGCTTGTGGCAGGGTTCAGTGGGACCTAGCACAATCTCCACATCACAGCCCACGGCCCTGGGACCAGCTGTTCCTCCACGCTTTGACCTATCATGAAATCCTCCAACAGGGCAGAGACAAGAGCTCCACAAATGGTAGTTTTGTTTCCCGTCTTCAAACCAAAATGGCTACAGGCATAAGGGTCCAATAACCCAGGCTCTTGCAAGAAGGCCAATAATGTCACAGAACAAACCTGACAAGACAGCTTGATTGCCCATTTCAACTGCTTAACCCGGCCAACCCACAGGCTATCAGCAGATTCTTGTTTCCCCTGTTCTGGGGCCCAAGGGCAAAACTTCCTACCATGTGGCACTGGATCCCGCCAAGGGCCGAGCACCTGCTTCACACTCCTTTCACTTGTGGGGGTTACCAGCAGGGAACAGGGATGCTGCCTGCGTCCTGATCATACTAGGGACTGCAAAGGCACCTGCGCCTTTCTTCGTAAACAGATCTAGAGGAGTGGCTAGGGCCACCAACTAACAGGGATACCAGCCGGCACACCAGGTGACTACAGATAAACCGGAGCACAGGTGTGGCAGAGGAGAAACAAAAATAATAAGCAACAAGATGCTTAGTGTAGTCCTTTAGCACCTGTGACACAACTGTGACAGGGATGGTAATTCCGGACAGGAACCTTTAAGGGCATGCTGTCAGTGACCTGGTAGGGCACACACAGAATGGCCTTGGCACTTCATACCATGTGAAAAGCCACCCTGTGTCCCAAATGATTCTAAGCGGGCCTAGGTTATCTCATCAGCAGCAGAAAGGCAAGGGTGGGTCCATAAGGCAGAGATGAGCAAACTAGTACTTGGAGAAGCAAGTGGCTGCACCACTGCTTAAAACCATGGGAGCAGGGGCCAACATCAAGGTTCAGCATGTTAATCTGCCACCTGAAATTTCCACTGATATGGGTACTGATTTATGTCCCCAGAAGCTCTACTTCTGTTCCAGCTCCCTGCCAAAGGCCTGGGAAAAGCAGCGGAGGACTGTCCAAGTGCTTTGGGCCTGTCACCAATGTGGAAGGCCTGGATGGACTTCTAGGCTTCTGATATCACCCTGGGGCATCACTAGCTGTTAGGGCCGTTAGGGGAGTAAACCAGCAGATGGAAGAGCTTTCCTTTCCTCTCTCTAACTCTGCCTTTCAAATAAATAACTCTTGAAACAAAGCAAAATATGATTGCAGTAGACACACAGCACTGGAGGTCCACCGAAGACTGTAGGTGTTAGAGAGGCCTGAATTTTAACAGTGACATAGCTGACTTCCTGTCAAACTTTTAAGAACACTCTCCAGCACCTCCAAAACAAAACATCAGCTGTTCTGTTTCTTGTTCCTGTCAGAGAACTACAACAGTGTTTCCTGGTTATTCATCAACCCTTCACATCGTTACTTCTTATAATGAGAGGAGAGATAAAGAAGCAATCGGAAACAGAACTCACAGGTAATTCGTCTTTCTGGTTCCAAACGCCAGTGCACTGCCTCTGTTCAATCACAGCTTTGATGTTAATTAAAGCTGGCAGCGCCACACAACCTGCTGAGAAACTGGGAGAGCAACAGAGGAAGTGTCAGTGCCAGGCTGGTGTCAGGCAGCATGGCCAGAGACGTCCACTCCTCCAGATGCCCCACACCGCAGGTTCTGGCCACCGCACAGGGCAGAGCCTTCTGCTAGCTGCAATCACATCTAGTCGTTCCCACTATAAGAGAAGCAAGCGGCTCTCCCGCCCCCTTTCCCAAGCCCACAGCACACTCCTGGTAGTGAGCTGATAAAGCAACCCCTGTTTAAAAAAACAAACAAACAAACAAACAAAAAACCAAGAACCATTAAAGCTTACTAAATAAACCTCACCAAATGCAGCTTTAGAAATACAAATGGTGGGTCTGGCGCGATAGTGTAGTGGTTAAAATCCTCGCCTTGCACACACACCTAGGATCCCATATGGTACCAGTTCTAATCCTGGCAACCCCTCTTCCCATCTAGCTCCCTGCTTGTGGTCTGGGAAAGCAGTAGAGGACGGCCCAAAGCTTTGGGACCCTGCAAATGGTAATTAAAGATGCAACAGTTCAAAACATTATACTCTAAACATAAAAACTGGTGCTTTGGGATCCAGTGTTGAAAGACAGAATTGCTCGTTCCAAGGATACCCATTTGCAAGGAGAAAGGCAAGAGCAGAAAAGAGGACCAGTGCTCTGCTGTGCATGGCGGTTCCGGCATCGGACCTGCGGGGTAGAAAGCGTCTCGCACTGATTTCTTCACTCAGCAACACCAACACCCTCGCCTAGTTGCCAATACACTTGCTCATCTTTCCTAGAAGACTCTTCCACCAAAGGCTTACTACAGCAGTCAAAGTGTGGGTTGCACCTAGACACCACCCACAGTCCAAAGTGAAAAAGTGAGAAACTAAGAAGCTTTTAGAGAATTTCATGCACCACCTTAAGTTAGTGCAGAAACAACTGGTGTTTGTATCTGTCAAACAAGCCAGAGTTGCTGGGCTCTGTCTGTGGGTCACGAGTGGCATCCTTGGCCCTGCAGCCTTTCCAGGAAGAAGCACCCAACTTTCAGAGCTCAAGTGTTGCAGTCCTTGCTCAGCCGAGTCCCTCTTCAGGACTGTCTCGGGCAGTGAGAGCCACCTGTCCGAGGTCTCAGGCAGTAACTGCCCCACAAGAAGACATGAAAGTTCAGTCCCACTGACCAATGTGGGACAGCCCCGCAGGCCGCTCACAGTCAGATTTCTTCGTGCTTCTGTCATGACTGACTTTTCTCTTGGTCCAGTCCTTTCACTTTCATTCCCCCATGGTGTCTGATCCTAATATATTCCCTAGATGTACATCCCCAATTCTGAGTCTGTCCCCCAGAGCTGTAGGACAGATGTACCATCTGTGCAGCGCCAATATGATGGCAAAGGCTCTGGGACCTCCAGGGTCACAGAACAGACTTAAGCAATTGCTGCCCTAAAACCAAGTCATTGCCAACTCTCAGTCTCCAGGAAAATCAAAAGCGCTCTTTCTCCAGAAAGAAAAAAGTTCCCTAAGCTTTAAACATCAAGACAAGAAGAGCCAACTGGGCAGTACACAGGTCAGTAACAGACAGGGCTCTCTTCCGTACCTGACACTGAGTGGGGACTCCACAGACAGCCCTAGGAGGGCACAGGCGTCCCGCGTGAAGATGTCACAGATGTCAGCCCACTGGTTTGCATCGAGCAGGTGAACGTAAGGTGAGTTCTCTATCCCTTGTCTCAGGTACACAAGGCTTCCCATTAAAACCTGAATGTCTGAACAAAAGGTGTGAATAGTTGCACATGAACATTTGCTTGCAGTTAACAGACTGAACGCCCGCACAACTGAGACAGCCTCAGTGTCCTGAAATTCCGGTCTGTGACACAGGTGTTCGATGTACAGTGTAAGGTGTCACACCCATATCTTGTAACAGAGTGCCCAGGTTAGAGTCCAGCTTCTTGTGAATGGAGGCAGCAAGCAGCCCAAGTTGTTGGGTCTCTGCCACTCACATGGGAGACCTGGATTGAGTTCCAGGCTCCTGATTTGGGCCCAGCTCAACCCCAGTTGGTGTGTGCATTGGGGGAGTAAATTAGTGAATAGGAGATCTCTGTAACGCAATCTAAACTAAAATTAGAAAATCTTGAAATATTCTGATCCTTAATTTGGTTTAAGTGTAACATTAGTTCCCTCACCTTTAAATTTAAAAATACATCATGAAGAAAGAGCAAGCACTGACTGTGTAACTTCTTACATGCAGCACAGCATTAATCAGCACTATCTGGAGGTATAATGATGATGTCATCACTGGGCACACCGCATGTACTCAGTATTACTCCAGGCCGTGCTTTCACACTGCCACTAGCTCTCATGGAGCTTTAGTGTTTGACTTTGTTACGGGGGTAATCAGGGTTTTTGGTGACTAATTTTCATCTACATCTGCTTTATTAGCAAATATGTGTTGGGCTGTTTCACTTCAGTGGTGGCCATACAGTCCTATTACCAATGGGCTGCAGACTCACCTTTTTGATGATTTAGGGCAAATGGCTGGAAGTTCTTGGCATATTGCAGCGCCTCTCGCTGATTTGTAGTTCCACCCATTAACAAGCTAATGAAGTAGAGTCGGTGCAGCTTGAACTCCAAGGAGCTGTTTTGGGCTATGAGCATTTCACGGTTTGATACTGCCCACCTACAAAAACAAAAAAAGCAGAAAAAGATTCGTAACAATAATCAAGAGAATAAGACAGGTACATTCAAACAAAATCTTACTGACACGAACAAGAGGTTTGGCCTGCCATCTTGTGGAAGTCTGTGGTAGCATCAACCCGTTAGCCAAGCTACACCACAACTCCACCTGAAGAAAACCTTCAGCTGATAAAGCAAAGAATCAATGCCAAGTCAGAATACAACCACATCCTTGGGGTGTGTCACACTGTGGATTCAGCGTGCACAAGGATGCACTTTGGAGTGGTGTGAGCCATTAGTCACAAACACATTGCCTGGAACCTGTTTCTTTCCTGTTCAACCAGAAACTATTCAGTCAAAGATTCTGAAGGGGAGTCATTTATTTCTGAGCTACTGTTAATAGCTGTAAGATCTTGTGCTACTCTGGGATTTAAAGGAGTAGGCACAGATATTTCCTCTCATGGTACTTTCAGTTTAATTAGATTATGCAAATATTACATGGTATATCTTACTGTGCCCACATAATGCTAATGAGGAAGGCAACAATCTCCAGTTTTGAAGAATCAAAACTGACTTATAGAAACTTGGGCCCAACCCAGCATGGCACAGCATGGATAACCCACCTAGAGCTGGGACTATTACCACAACATTTGAACACCAAAGCAACAGGCACACCTGCTGGTGCTACAATCAAATCATTCCCATGCTCACCCAACTCACCAAGGGTCAATGGGATCTGAGGAACTCCCCAAACATCAGGAGTGAAGCACCTCAAGTTGTTCATAGTAGACCAGCCCATGGGGCTTGCACCTCACAAAGCTGCTTCTCCTGGCTCCTATACTTCCCCATAGGACTCCACTTGCACAAATTCAGTCTCTCGACTTGCTGAAGGATGCACCTCTGAGAGTCAGGCCACTGAAGTTTCCTTGATCTTAAAGTGATTTTTTAAAAATATTCATCATCTGATCTAATATTGATCATCTGATTTTGGAAACATTTACTTAAATTTAGGTTAGTTTTGGAGCTTTGGCAACCACTAGAGCTAATGTGGTGAGGCCTGTCCACAGGAGCCAGCACTTTCAGCAGCCATCCCTCACCCACGCCCCACACTGGCCGGTGGCGCCAGCAGAGCTGTGCCGTCTGCAGTCTCAAGATATCTTTTCACTCCAAAGGCTGCATTTCAGACCACTTAGCCAGAAGTTTCTAATGACAACCCATAAAAGAATGATTCTGTTTTTCTACTAATGACCCTGGATGGGTGGTGAGCTTTTTCTTTTCTCCATTCCTGACAGGAGGTGTCTGTAAGTCAAAAAGGGTGCTATAGAGAGAATAGCTACACATGTGAATAAAAGACAAGGGCCAACTGGAAGAAAAAAAAGTCCTCAAGCAGGCCATTTACAAAGGAAAAACATTATCACATTTTCATCGGAAAATGTCCATGATACAGTGTTAAAAGGAGCAGGGAGAAGGAGAAACCGTGAGGGGTGTGTGTGTGTGTATACATGTACTGTATATAGTGTATATATATATACTGACACCAGAAATTCCAACAGGAATGTTCTCAGGAAAAGTTAGATTCCAAGCCTCAGTTACCAGCTACTATGGGATGGGCTCTGACTAATTAGAATGGGGCATCAGGGCATCAGGGCATCAGGCCAGCAGCAGGTGGATGACCCACTGGCAGGTGCCAATGACAAAATCCTGCTGCATGGCAGCACCCGCTATCCTGATCTCTCAGTGTTCCAGGCTGCCTTCCAGGCCCCAAGTTTCCTATAATGAACAGTAGCTTCCAGCTTAATGCAAAAGCAACAATATTCAAACCCATATAATCCAAGTTTTCAAAATTCTTTAAGTATTTCAAATCTGTAATAAACTTTCCTTCATGTAACTTTTAAATATCAAAAGTAAAATCTCACAAGGCAAAAGGATTTTTAATCTTCCTTAGCAAACTGTCTAAACTAAGGATGACACTCCCAATTAAAAAAAAATACATTCATTTATTTTATTGGGAAGTCAGAGATTCACAGAGAGGACAGAATGACCTTCCAACCACTGGTTCATTCCCTAAGTGGCTACAATAGCCAGAGCTGAGCTGATTCAAAGTCAAGAGTTAGAAGCCTCCTCCAGCTCTTCCATGTAAGTGCAGGGTCCAAGGCTCTGGCCCATCCTTGACTGCTTTCCTAGGCCACAAGCAGGGAACTGGAGCAGCCAGGACACGACCTAGCACCTATATGGGATCCCAGCGCATGTAAGGTGAGGATTTTAGCCACTTAGGCCACTGCGCTGGGCCCAGCACTACCAATTTTAACCCTACACATTTTTTGGCACACTTTGGTGTTAACATGAAACCTTGTCTGTTGGAATCTCTTCCTCACACTCATAATGCCAACCCAGGAATCCACATTTATACTTTCTGAACAAGGCCAGTTTGCTGTGCAGATTAAATACAGGTTTTTATTTATAAAACTCATTTTGTCTTGCCTCCTAGTAAGACCATCAATCTTGTTAAACTATCTTATGACCACCTCATAACTGTATGCCTTCATTACATGAATTCTTGATACAGTGCTATATTCTGGATACTGGCATTTCTAGCAGAAAACTTCAGATTTTTTTTGGGGGGGGGGATTATTTTCATGCACTTGAAAGGTGGGGACGGGGGAGACAGAAATCTCCATCCACTGTCCATGCCCCAAATGCTGAACCAAGCTGAAGCTAGGAGCCCAGACTCCATCTGGATTGGCAATGGAGGTGGCAGGGACCCAAATATGTAAGCCATCATCTGTCAGAATGCAGATGGCAGCCAGACTAGAAGCAGAAAAGCTGGGATCCAAACTGGCAGCCCGACACACATGGCAGCTGAACCTGCTGTGCCACATGCCTGATTTTCAGCTTAAAATACATACACATACACAAGCACAATGTACTTTATCAACCAACAAGTTAACTAAATTATTTGTTTCTGTAAAAAAAAAAAAAAAAAAGCCCACTCCCCAATCTCAATGTGGGCCACAAGAACATGTTACCATTGGGACCATTCCTTATGTAAAGAAACACTGTAGAGGGGCGGTGGTGGGGCCAGCAGATCACCAATGTCAAAGTTACCTCAATTTATTGCTACCACAATCCCCTAATGAAGAGACCCCAAACATATTTCTTATGAAGCGACTAAGTTAGATATATCTCACACTTACCCAACAGAAGCATTAATCATCCTAATTCTGAGGCCTCTGAAAAGACTTGGCACAATGTGAGCTTCATATTCAAAATTTTCCTATCTTTATTCAAGCACAATGAAAGCTAAATTTCACCTCCACAGTCAGCTGCTCTCCCCCAGAACAATGGACAGCAGGAGTATTACTCTCTCCTGCAGCTATGCCAATCTGGGTGGGTGTCTAGTTCCAGCAAAACTGTGCAGGTAATGCCCTTTCAGATCCTACTGCACACTCCATTACCATCCCTGACTGTACTTTTACAGGAATAAGTACTTTTAAAAACCAGTCTCCTTTAGGGACTTTCATCTCTTTTTTTTAATTGCCTCTTGGAATAAATCTGAAATTTAGGAACAATGAGTCACAAGACTTACTGTACAGGTTTGGACTTGGCAGGACATTGGTAATATGAATCAATAAATTATTTCCCACATTCAGAGAATAGCAAACACTACAAAAAATTAAAGCCAGCCAAAAAAAAGAAACTATACCTTTGGCTTAGAGGTTGGCTACCATTTAATTTGACAGACATTTATTTATCTGTCTATCCATCTATTAATCAGGCAGAATTACAGAAAAAGAGGCAAAGTAATCTTCCAGCCACTGAATCACTGGGGGTTGGGCCAAACTGAAGCCAGGGCCCTGGAACTCCATATGGGTCTCCCTCACAGGTGGCATGGCCCCAAAGTACTTGGGTCAAGAACTTCTTCTTTTGCAGGTGTATCGGCAGGGAGCTGGAACCAGCACACCCCCATATGTAGCAGGTGGCAGCATCACCAGCAGCACAATGCCAGCCCCAAATGTCATTTGAAGCATATTCAACTGACAGTTTCTCACCTGGGTTGGGTCCATCACTGGATCTACCACCAGCTGACTCATCACAGTGCTAGTGTGTCTTTGGTCCTCACGGGCTATTTCCTGAAGATGCGTTCAGCATCTGGCACAGCAGGGGAGACTGCAGGTGACAGTTCAACCAGCTCAACCCAGGCGGGAGAGACCCAGGTTAAGTTCTGGCCTCCTAACTCCAGGCAGGCCCAGCCCCACCAGTCAGGAGATCTGAATTCTAATAAAGGCTATTCTGATTTCCGAGACACATCTACACATCTTGGGAGTTCCTGCATACTTTCACTTTAACCAGGGTAGGAGACAGGAAAAAATGGTGCCGTCACTCAAATATATCTTTTCTGGCCTGTTCCACCGAGCCATCTTTTTCTGTACCCTCCTCATTGAGCACTATTTTCCATTTCAGTTAGCTTCTTTTAATAATGGTACATCTTCTTCGCAAGACTTCGCACACAGGAAGAGTTAATGTATCAACTCTCTCCTGTTCCATTTTTTAGGAATGAAAGCCGAAAGGCAGAAAGGCAGGCAGCTGGGGGTTGCAGGATGGGAATTCTAAGGGAAACATCTAGTTATACAAGCCTGGAATGCTCCTGCCATGAGCTCCTCTCTCAGAGCCTGTGTCCTCTGCTATCCTAGGAGACCAGGAAGACTGCCCACTCACAGGAAGCCACAACTGAGAACAAGATGCATGCTACAAACTGCCTCATCCTTGCCACCCACGCTGCCATGAGAGCTGAGGCTCCACCATCAGGCACCTCTGCTGGCTGCCTCCCTTTTCCTTTTCTGCTTACAGATGGTATTTTATTTATTGATCCGGCAATCTTCCCAGCCCGCCTAAGCACAAGACGAAGGACCACTGACCACACACCACCACCAGCAGCTGCTGTGGGGTTCCTTCCCATGCCCAGCCAATCCTGCCATCTTGCAGTAGCCTCTGGATTCTGTTCACGGGCTCTCCAATCTGAAACCCTCTAGGGCCTGAGCTAAGAAAACCTATTTCGCATTTCTCCTGTGAAGAACTCTATAATCTCCTCAGCTTAGGCAACCGCTTAGGTTGCCTTGTACCCAGACAAGTGTTACACCACTGGGAAAAAAGCAGCCAGTAGTTGGTGGGCATTGTGGACCTGGTAAATGCCAAGCTTGCATTAACTATACCAGTATACTAATATAGTTGCTTGTTCTTTCTTTCTTTCTTTATCCTTTAATGGTGAGAAAGGTAGAGAACTCTGGGCTGGGACATACTACCTGGGTCCCCAGGTGGTAGGCAGGGGATGGGATGCTGCAAATTGCCCAAAGAAGGGGGTCTGGGAACGTATTAGAGTAGAAGCAGCTGAGGGAACGTTTGACAAGGAAGGAATGATTTCTGGGGTCTTCCATGGTCTAGGCACTTGCAGGTAGGTGGGTGGGGGAGCTGAGACAGAGTAGTTTAGAGGGGAGAAACAGGAATACATGTATGGCTCAGGCCAAGGCACCCGCCCATGAGAGACTTGGGCTGGACTAAATAGTATTAACCTCTCCCTGCTGGCACATGCAAAATCTTAGGCTGCAGGCATGCCTGGCTGAGTGAGCCCTCAGCCTCTGTCAGTTTTTGAGAGAGAGAGGACAAGGGTGGAAATGACCAAGCAATGGCATCCACTGCTATGTGTACTGGCTGGTGCACACAAATGTCACTCCAGAATATAATACCTAAAACAGAACACTAAGCAGCCACCAACAAAACTGAGATGGTTCCATTTGTTCTGTAATCCATAAATATTCAAACATTTTTAGCTGAAACAAGCAAGATGCTAGGACTGGTGTTGTGGTGTGGTGGGTAAAGCCACTTCCAGCAGCACTGGTAACCCAGATGTGTCCCAGCTGCTCCACTTCAGATGCAGCTCCCTAATGGCTGGGAAAAGCAGAGAAGATGGTTCAAGTGTGTGGGCCCCTAAGTTTCTTGCTTCTTTCTGCTGCAGCCATCTGGGGAGTGAACCAGCAAATGGGAGACCTGTCTCTCTCGGTCACTATAGCTCTGACTTTCAAATAAATAGATAAAAAACATAAATAAATCTTTTTAAAAAGATAGCAAACGTTTAAGAAAAAAAAGCAAAATTGTATGTATAATGTGAAACAATTTGTGCATAAAGCATATACATAATTAATACTATAAACTTGCTCATGTATGAATTTCATTGGAAGGACACACAAGCACATAAACTCAGAGTACATAAACTGGGAGGCCAGGGTGGGAAGATCCACTTCTGACTGCATGTTCTTCTTTTTTATCTTCTGATTTTATTTATTTATTTATTTTTCCTTTTAAAGATTTATTTTATCTTCACTGGAAAGGTAGATATACAAAGAGGAGAGACAGAAAGGAAGACTGCCTTCCTAGGCCACAGGCAGGGAGCTGGATCGGAAGTGGGGCCGCTGGGATTAGAACCGGTACCCTTATTGGATCCTGGCGCGTGCAAGGTGAGGGTCTTAACCACTATGCCAAGGCACTGGGCCCACCTTCTGATTTCATATAACTGTTCAGGTATTATCCATTGAGATTCTTAATCTTGACTCAACTATGGAGGCTTCATATTAAGGTTTTTGTTTTTGTTTTGTTTTTTAAGATTTACTTTTATTGGGAAGGCAGTACAAAGAAGAGAGACAGAGAGGAAGATCTTCCATCTAATGAGTCAATTTCCAAGTGGCTGCAACAGCCAGAGCAGAGCCAATCTGAAGCCAGGGGCTTCTTCTGGGTCTCCCAGGCGGGTGCAGGGTCCCAAGGCTTTGGGCTGTCCTCTATTGCTTCCCCAGGGCACAAGCAGGGAGCTGGATGGGAAGTGGGGCCTCTGGGATTAGAACTGGTGCCCATATGGGATCCCAGCGTGATAGGATTAATTATCAAAGGGACTCTCTCGGCAGCGGGTGGGTCCCGGGACAGGGCGTCTCATGCCTGGATCTCATACGCCCTCCATCATGGGCACATGGTGAGCCAGGCTTGGGCCTGCCGGGGCTCCAGGGCTGCTTCCTTCGGGGTGAGTACACTGACTGGGGTGGGGTGGGGGGGGGGGCGGTCTCTGGAGTCAGGCTAGGCAGGCCCACCGGCAGCCTACGGGATTGGGGTGGGGCGCGACCTTGGGCCTGGGAGGTTACACTTCCTGTGCCTCTCAGCAGCGGGTGGGCCACACATATTGGCAAACCAGGGTAGGGGGTGGGCCTGGTGGGGGTTATTGTGGGCCGCTCTCATCAGGATGCAGCTCCCACTGGTTTCGGTGAAGACCAAGTATGTGCTGTGCAGAACCAGGCTGGACTGCAACACCCACTGGTTCCAGTAGAAGGCGGGGCTGAAAACAGAACCAACCCAGCAATTGCAACTACCAGCTGACCGGGTGATGGACTGTGCTGGGCCCTGTGCTTGCTGGTGCATACGAGTATCTGGCCTGGGAACACCTCAGACGAAGTTTCTTTGGTGATCTCCCCAATTGAAATGCCAGACTCAGAACCCTAACCATGAAGGGACAGAAGATGGAACAAGTTAGTCAACCACCTCAGCTATTGGTTGGCAACAAAATACCGGGCAAATAGAGACGCTATGATGGACAATGTCAATTAATGGATCTTTCAACAACCTCATCATGTTTGGAGAGGCAAGATTGGCAGCAATTTCAAAACTGGTGACCTATTGAAACCACTTCAACGAGTATCTTGGAGCATGCCCCACATGCGGAACTTGGGGTGGGTGGGAAACCGGGTGGGGCTTCTCCCTCAATATCCCCCTCTACCTCAGATATATGAAGGAAACAATATGGAAATAATAGTCTTACCCCCCCCCCAAAAAAATTATCAAAGGGAATGTATTCCTGGACCACTGGAATCTCCTAAGAAACACCTGCATCCTGTCACGAGAACCATCCTCCCCCCTCACACACACACACCTGAAATACAGGAAGTGATCAGGAGATAGGAATGATTTTGGAGTTCTTAGAATTCCAGGAAAAAGTTGCCTTCAAGGCATGCTGTTTTATTGTCTACATTGATGTGATAAGATTGGAGTCCTGAGCTTTTGAACTACAAATCTTAACTGAAGTAACTGGATCAGAATCTTAAACACTGGAAATTTTTCATCTGCTTCCTGCTCTGTCACAAAATAACCCCTCATTATGTTTACCCAACATCATGTAGCTATTGATTCTCTCATAGATAATTGCTATAAAAACCCCCATTTGCTTTGTTCAAAGTGCTTTTCTTGTTCATGGCAAGAGGTTGCCCCTAGACTAGAGGTTAAAATGATTTCACTTGCCTTGATGCCTTACTCGATTTTTCTGAACCCCAACACCGGTGTGTGCAAGGTGAGGACTTTAGCCACTAGGCTACCGCGCAGGGCCCCATATTAAGGTTTTAATAGCAGACACTTAAGAGAAGGCTGGCTACTAAAGGATGCCTTAGAACTGAAAGAATGGAGACAATCAAGGACATTTAGTAAAAAAACAACACAACTCTGCTCATGACCTCTGACCTGCCCAACAGCTCTGCAGGGCTGTTTCCATCATTCAGTCAGTCATGGTATACCAGAGTGAAAACAGTAAACACCTTCTAGAACACCCTCCTCTTGTTACAACTATATGTTCAGCTTTCCACATGGATCTACCTATCACCAGTAATAGGCAGGAATTGGGAAAAATTCAAGTTAATGGCAACGTTGATTTAACTTTCCAAATTTACATTCTGTAGAAAGTTAACTCTGTGGGTTTAACAGGTGTTAATGATGGTGGCGTGGCGGGGGCAGAGGGGTGAATATGACACAAGGATTTTCTGGCCCAATATGCAAACACGGGGTCATATAAAGTTGAATGAATTTCTTTACTGTAAGATCACTGATTTCTATGTGGCCAAGATTTCATGCCACCTGCAAATGATAGAATATTTACTATTTGGTACTTTACGAGAATTTGCTGACCCTGCTCTAGCGTGCTATTCAGCGATCTCAAGGCACTAAGGGCAGTAAAAAGTCCACAGAGAACCAAAATCCACAGTAAGACCAGAGAAACTTCGTAATAGTATTTACTCTCTTCAAGCTCACTGCTTAGTCCCAAGAAACAATGCAAGCATTTCTTAGAAGGCTAGCACAGAACCGCACACCATGGAAGCTCAAATATCAAACAGGCACCGCCTGAACAGTAGTGCTTTAAGCTGTACGGCTAGTCCACACATCAAGTGGGGGAGAGGTTAGCCTGATACAGCAAACTCTATTCTTTCATGGGAATTCAGAACAATTGATAAGTGAAATCAGCTCCATTTTCTCACACTGCAACCCCATCTACCCCTCCACTTGGCTAAAAGATACTTTCCTCCCTTGACTGCTCTTAAGCTCACCCCAGGTCAGATGAATCTAAAACTCAAATGTATTTTCAATTAAGTCCTTTCCCAGAGAGCCCCCCTCACAGTATCCACAAATAAAACAACAAAAACCAAAAAACCAACCAACAACACAACAACAAAAAACTTAGTAACTCACTCCAGAGCAGGTCTCAGAACTCTGACTTTTAATGCTTCTAATATTCGATTTAACTCCACAAATGGTTCTTTCTGACTTGGGTCTACAGAAAGACCAGATTCCTGTGGGAGGGGAGTGAGAGAGAAAAACACAAAACAGAATTTGGTTAGTAAATATCAGAGTAAATAAATGGTGATAGATGTATATTAACAGTAAAATATGGGACAGACCATTAAAGATAGTTTCCTTCCAACACATCTCTGTGGCCGACTGATGCCTGACCCAAAGTCATTTAGCCCTGTTCTGTAGTAGTTCCCAAATTTCAGCTGGCACACGAAACTGGGGTACGTGTGGCTTTGTGAGATGTAAGACCAGCCAGTGAAATACTAACACGTGCTTGTATTCCTGCCTGGGATGAAAGGTGCAGCCGGAGCTCTGGCTGCTAGTCTGGACCATAAGGACAGGGCACTGTGAGAGCAGTACCACAGGCAGCTCCATGAGGCAGAGCTGCCACACATGCCAGGAACACCACACGACCTATGTCGACATAAGAAAAGGAAGCTTTATTTTTGTTTAAGCCCCATTATCTTGGGTCTTCATTAATAAAAAACAAAAATAAATCCCCAGTAAGAGGAAATTTATGTGAATAATAAGGTAAAGGTCTTTCTGAATCTTTTTAAGATAGAAAAGACTGCAGCAGGCACTTTGCCTAGCAGTTCACTCCCAGCTTCCTGCTAACAGTGTGGACTCTGCGAAGCAGTGATGCTAACTCAAGTTGCTGGGTTCCTGTTACCCACTGGGGCAGGAGACCTAGACTAGGTCCCAGCTCCCAACTTCACTTCCTCTGGCCACTGCAGACCTAGTATAAAAGGAAAGCAGTGGATAGGAGTTCTCTCCTCTATCTTTGTCTAGCTCTCCGCCTCTCAAATAAATACTTAAAAAATACAAAACAGGAAAGATTTAGATTAGAGGTTCAGTTTACAGGCTGGCCCTAAATTATTTAATCCTTTTAGTCCTTCATTTTTGCAAACAAAAAAATAATAGCAAATGAAGTGCAGAGGTTAGAAACACACAGATGGACGAACCTGCATGGACTTGGACAAGTTATTTCTCTAAGCCTTAGAATCTGTAAAATGGGAATGATCATTTTCACCTTATGAGGGTGTGTGAGAAGGAAAAAAATACAGTAAAGTTCAATACACAGTAGCTTCTCTGTTCTGACTGAAAGGTATTGTAACCTGAGATCTCTAAGCTCATGTCGTGTAGAAATTAAAAAAAAAAAAAAAATGCTGCTCACCGGAAGCACATTTTCAGGTTAAAATTTGGTTGATCAACAAAACACTCTTAGCTGCACTGGATCAGAAGGGGAAATATTACCGCTTTTGTCCCCTTCCTCTTCTTCACTATCCTAACCTCCCTTCACCCACACAAAGGACAGAAGGAAGCAATGATGACCTTGATTCGTGACCTGGGATCAAGTCTGTCAGTCAAAAGTAAGAAAAGAACAACTTGGACAAGTTCTGGGACTGCATTTTTTTTTTTTTTTTTTACTTAAAAAATCAAGGTCATCTCTGGTGATTAAGATATTAACAATCTGCCTGTGGCTAGCAGTTAAAACCTCACTGCACAAACCATACGCACTCCAGAGCTGTTTCTTCCCCAGATCCTCCCGGTGCCCTCACTCTTACCTGGCAGAGCTCCTCAGCTACGTCCAACATGCCTTGCCGAAAGAAGTGCTCCACCATCACCTCGTTGAGAAGCCTCTGGCTGTCCGCCTGCCAGCAGCCATCGATTCCCACACTGCTGATGTCAGAATCAAAATTCTGGGGAGAAAAAAATACATGAATAAATGATTTGCATCTGGCCAAACACAAAGACTGTTCACTTCACTCTGAGACACTCCCAGGAAGCAGCCCTGCCCCCTATTGGCTCTCAGGACGGAAAATTCTCATGGTCCATTTCTAAAACCTGTCACTCTTGCTGAAAGCGTAAATAGGCATATTTTTGGAGAATAATGTGGAAAAACACATAGATTTAATACAAATTTCTTTGGTTCAACTGAATTGAGACAACATGTTGGCCCTAGGAATACTGCAGCAATAAAGGGGTATCTAGTACGACTGTAAAAGCACACTGGGGCTGACACGGTCTGGAACAGGGAGAACACACGTTTCCATAAATAACCCACCATGCATTCAAACAACTACCCCTCGGAACCTGGGGCCACAGGGACATGCAGGCCGCCGAAAGGGTGCCCACCTCCTGGGTTTGTCATGATCTGTGTATGCCTGCATGTTTCTGTTTCTAAACAGTTTATTACGGACTTGACTAGGGGACAGATCCAGTTCCTAAAATCCAGAATGGTTGCAACACAGAAAAAACTTGCAGAACTACAATGGTTTTGAAATTAAACATGAACTGGGCCTGGTGCGATAGCGTAGTGGTTAAAGTCCTCGCCTTTGCATGCCCAGGATCCCATATGGTCGTCAGTTCCAATCCTAGCGGCCCTGCTTCCCAGCCAGCTTCCTGCTTGTGACCTGGGAAGGCAGTCGAGGATGGCCCAAAGCCTTAGGATCCTGCACCCATGGGAGACCCAGAAGAAGCTCCTGGCTCCGGGCTTTGGATAGGCTCAGCTCCAGCCGCTGCGCCCACTTGGGGAGTGAACCATCAGACGGAAGACCTTCCTCTCTGTCTCTCCTCCTCTCTGCATATCTGCCTTTCTAATAAAAATAAATAAATCTTAAAAAAAAAAAGAAATTAAACATGAACCTCAATCCAGGGAAGACTGGTCAGAACTTGTGGCCTGAAGCTAACTAGGTAGAATACACTAAAACAAAAAAAACCAGCATTCTCCATAGACTTTAAAGAAGATCCAGGGAACATCTAGAACATATGCAAAATTATTTCACATACAAAGTAACGAAAAAAAAAAACTGGAGGAAAAAAAATAATCAACAGACACCAATGTACAATCAAAAGATTCAGAGTAATCATTATAAAAACATTCTAACACTCTTGGAAGAAATTTAGCAAAGAAAGGAAAGATAATCAATCAATTAAAAATGATTGTACAGACAACAGAATCTAAGTGTTAGTATAAAAACATCAATCAAGATACACAGCAATTTGAGCAGAAAAAAGATGTAATGACAGTCTCAGGGACTATGGTAAAGTAACAAAACCTAAGATTTACATTCTCAGAGGACCACAAAAGAGGATAAAGACTGGTACGGAAAAAATTTGATGGGTCCAGCACAGTGGCCCAGCAGCTAAATCTTCGCCTGCATGTGCCAGGATCACATATGGGCACCAGTTCATATCCCAGCTGCCCTACTTCCTGTCCAGCTCCTTGTATGAGGCCTGGGAAAACAGCCCAGGATGACCCAAAGCTTTGGGACCCTGCACCCACATGGGAGACCCAGAAGCTCCTAGTTCCTGGTTTCAGATCAGCTCACCTGTGGCCACTGTGGCCACTTTGGGAGCAAACCAGTAGATGAAGATCTTTCCGTCTCCTCCTCTCTGTAAATCTACCTTTCCAATAGAAATAAACCTTTACAGAGAGCCAAGCAAGCAGCCGAGGGGTTACTTTTATGGAAACTATAATTCAAACAGTTGTAGAATTCTCACACACCTCAGAGGCCAGAAAGGAGGGGCCAAACATTCATCCAGTACTCCAAAGGAACTCTATACCCAGGCAAAACACCCCTCAGGAATGATGATGGAATAAAGACACTCTCACATGAAGGAAAATGGTATTTATTGCTGGCTGATATGCTCTAAAACGGATAGGTTTTTCTGGTAAAGTGATAGAAGGGAACCTGAAACAACATTATGGGCAAATCTCCTCAATAACCTGAAAAGCGTTTCCTATCCAGTTCTTTAACTCACCCTTACCCTTCAAAGGCACTACCCTCTAATAAGCCTTTTATACCTTTCTGTAAAGCACACAAACTTAGCCAAGATTTTTTATTTAACTGAAATGACAACTGAATTACTTTATGGCACTTACAAAGGTGGGGGTGGGGGGCAGCAGCGGGGTAAGTAACCCACAAGAGCAACTGTGAACCACTACTATTCCCAGTTAGCACCGCGCTGGGGAGTACCCCCTGAAGAAGCACACTGCTTCCCCACAAGCACCTGTCTCCTCTACTGTTAGTTGGTAACACACGTACTAACATTTGGAACCACCGGTCAAGACACAAATGCCAAGACTGCTGTCAGTTTTCAGCTCAGCCACCTTCCTTTTGCAGACATCTTTCTTGGCCTAGAATTTATAAAAATGGGGTTAGCACCAAGCACTGAAGGGGGCTGAAGCAGCCAGGCACAGACCCCAGAGACTGCTGCCTGGCTCAGGAGAGCCACCACTGCTGCTATTAGGTTCTGCCTGTTGACAGCTAATTTCCTAACACTTCATCCACACTTCTGAACAAGCTTTTCTATCCTTAGGCTGTCAGTGACAAAACACTGACATTTTTCCTTTCTGGACTTGAGCAGAGGTCCTAAAAGCAACTGATGGGGTATTTTCGAGCCTAAAGACCACAGAGATGACTAAAGGCAAGGGTACCCGAAGATGACAGAATTGATTACAAACCCTGGGATCTGCCTCTAAGTACAACCCGTAAGCCAGAATCACCGAGACTAATACAAATTTCCTCACTAATCTATCAAGTCCAATCCAAACTAAACCTTCAAAGCCCAGCAAATTCATCCGGCATTGTCCTAAGCAAAGAAATGAAACAACTTTGGAAGACGTGCTGGTCAGGTCCCCCGAAAAAACCAAAAACAAAACCACTAAAACAGATTATTTGACCTGGTAGAATAGAACTGGTAGAACTTTTAATAGTTGCCATACTAGACAGTATCTGTTCAGATCAAAATAAAAGTATTCAAAAAATAAATAAATAAAAATAAAAGTATTCCCCGAATACTTTCCCTAATATACCTAACAAAAGCAAATGTTGTTCACCTAGAAAGCTTTTTAAATTGTCTAATATTTGAACAATTTCCAAAGACTTTGCTACAAAGTTTCTTCTTTTTTACCAGTGTCTTTCCCTTTCTTTCTTTAAGGTTTAGGAAGTATTACATGTATATATGAGTTAAGAAAATCCAACAACCTTAACGGTCAGGTTCTCTATATTTAAACTCGGTTACTTACTTTCTATTCTTAGAAAATGAGCAGGAATGAGAAATTCATGCTAAGAAATTCCGTTCTTTCATTCTAACTCTCTAGTTCAAACTCCCTGAGGCAAAAAAGCAAACTACTTTCACAGTGTATTTTCTAGTCACACGTAGTGAAAACCACAACCATCATAAGGTCAAACTCCTCTGGTTAAAACTGCAGGTTCTTAATTTTGCTCCAGGGCCGGAATCAGTTCCAGCTTGTTACTAGGCGACCACATTGCCCAAGACCAGCAGCATTGGGAGGAACCAGCGAAGGAGGTGGCTAAGGAAGAGAAATGTCTATCTATAATTAGCATCTTGCTTTACTACACTTTTTCCTCTCACATTCTGAAAGCCAACCTGGGCACAATGCCTCTTAATAGGAAGGAGGACTCGGCGACAACCAGGAACAATGAAGCATACATTCAAGGATATATCTGTCTGGAGAGATGTTCTGGTTTGCAAGGGGCAAGCCAGAAAATATTAAATCTGGAAGCTGAGACAGAGGCACCAATAACTCTAATAAGAGTTCGTTTTGAAATTGTGAGGTCTAAACAGACCACCCTAACTCTAGCTGCTTCAGGAACCTGCTCTCAAGTCAGCCCAACTTTAAGGGCTGGCTTTTATGGCCACCATGAAAACCCAGTTCCTTTTTTTTTTTTTTTTTTTTTTTCAGTTTTTCCTGCCAGTCCCTTTCTTGAACACATTTTATGAAATTACAAATACTGAGCAGACACTGGTGACAACATGGCACTACCCACTTTTATTTTACAGGTGCCAATTCTTCGGTAGTATTAACTACCTCCCCTTGAAACTATCCCTCTATCCTGAGGAAAAACTGGTGCATAAGCCTAACAATGCATAACTGCTGCACCTATGAGATGCAAATTTCCTTGGTAAGCACACAGTCAATCTAGGCTACCAATGAGAAGCAAACTGCAAAGCAACCTAACAGTATAGATGATGTGGATTCTGGTCCCCGTCAGATGGCAGAAGAGAGCTACTTCATCCAAGTCAAAACAGGGGGGAATCCTTGCGGTCCACAGTGAAAAGATATTACTCAATCTCCAAGATACTCAAACACAAAACTAGGAGCAAGGGTTTAGCCCGGCAGTCGAGACACCAAGTCTCACATCACACAGTAGCTGGGTTTGATTCCAGCTCCAGCTGTGGACTCCAGCTACCTACCCAGGCAGACCCACGGTGTGGTGAGGCAGTGATGGCTCAAATTACTGGGTTCCTGCCATCCATGTGGGAGACCAGGGCATATTCCTTGATCCTGGCCCAGCCCCAGTCACTGTGAGGATTTGAGAGGTGAATCAGTGTATGGGAGCTGTCTGCCAGTCAGATAAAATAAATAAAAAATTAAAAAATAATTTTAATAACAAAATTCTTTTTTTTTTTAATTGAATGTCAGGGCCCAGCATGGTAGCGTAGTGGCTAAAGTCCTCACCTTGAATGCACTGGGATCCCATATGGTCGTCGGTTCTAATCCCGGCAGCCCCGCTTCCCATCCAGCTCCCTGCTTGTGGCCTGGGAAAGCAGTCGAGGACGGTCCAAAGCTTTGGGACCCTGCACCCATGTGGGAGACCTGGAAGAGGCTCCTGGCTTCTGAATGGTGCAACTCTGACCTTTGCGGCCACTTGGGAAGTGAGCCATCGGA